CGATTTTTCTTCAACGGAATGCTATCTAAAATTATTACCTCCTTCAGATGTTCATTGATATTGAATAAAATTGTTTTATGGTTCTCTTTTGTTAAATATCTTCTGTTATACTATGTTATTTAACACCCAGTATGCTTTCGAATTCACAGAATTGTCGTTCGCATACAAAATTTATTCAAGATATAAAATATATTACAAATTCATCGATTTGTATATATGTATAATAAATGTATCAGATTTATGTCACTTAGGAATCTTAAATGTCTAACTGCTTCATAGGAGCTTGATTTCACATTTTGTTACTCCGCAAAAAATGGATAATATTTAAATAAATAAACAAAACCATGTAAATATCACATTTACATCGAAAATAAAAAGAAATCACTGAAAATTTGGAAATTAGCAACGCCAAATTTCTAATACTAAAAAACTTATCCATTTTTTGTGCCTAGCTGTTATATGTCGTGTTAATGTTGGTTGCATGGGGCTTGCAGTGAGTGGTATGGCCACTATTTGCCTTCACTATATCCACCGGGGGTCCCTTAAAGCTTCGCAAAGGCGTCATTCGATAGCAGGTTTGTAAAATACCCTCTTGTGATGATCAGTACTCGTTTTTGTTTTTTTTTTTAATTTGGTTGATGGTTTCTTGGCAGCATTCGAGAGTTATTCTAGTAACGCACTGTATAAACAGTCAATTACTTTGCAAGAAAAACGGTTTAGGACAACATGGAAGTAAATATCTATCGGAATTTTTTATTCGACTCGACTCTTAGGAATATAAAAAGGTGGATAGCGACAGTTTTGATTTCAAAATAAAAAACTGTACTGGGTGATTGTATTTAAACACCACAAAATTAATGAGGCTATGTGTAAATACAATGTGATAAAAGTAATACACAGAGTGAATCTTAAATGCGTACAAATATTTTAAACAGCGATATAGTTTATTGTGTAAAACAGTAATAGTTTTTTTTTGTGAAAAATTTCAAATAAAAAAAGTCAAATTTAAAATAAATATCTGCGATTTGTAGTAGGAACTTGTTGGGAACCACTGGCTTCACTGTGGTATTTACGCGTAACATAATTTGTATATTGTGCATGGAAGATGAACTACACAGTGTTGCCGATATTACACAGAACTTTTAAACTCTTTGTTTACTGATCTTTAAGACGAGCGTTGCGGTTTACGGTCAATAAATCATTATGTACTAGTGGAAACTGTTTATTTTATTTAAAACATAGTTATTTATACGAAATTAAAAATTCAAATGAATGTAAAATAAAAGTGGATGGTGAGATTATGTTAAGTAGTGCAATTTTAAACTATGATTTTTTTCTTTCAGTTGGGTTTTCTTTATTATGAAGTTCAATTGTGTGAAAAGGTTGCTACGTAATCTAATTTTCATTGGCTTTTTAAAACCAGTTACCATTTTTTTTTAAATTACAATCCGTCATTAGTGCATTCCAATTACTATATTCAATTTACAGTATAAAACTAAAACATTGAAACCTATTCTAAATAATTTTCTTGACATATGACTTGGCACATTAGCAATTTGTTGGTGTACCTGTACATGCATAAATAAAATGTACACGTGGATGAATTAATTTTATAAGGAATAATATCTCCTTAAATTTTGAAGAATGACTCATTGAACTCATTTACTCATGAATTATACCGGCGGCGGCGGTTAAAATATATGTACACATTTAAGATTGGCCCTGTATATAGATTTTTTTTAAATTGCGACATTCATTGAGAAAGTTAAACATTCATTGGCAAATAAATAATGTTGCAAAATCAATTGCAAAAAAGATAAGTAACAACAGATAATTATTATCTTATTTACTTATGCTGCAGTGAAACAATATCAACAGAAATTAAATAGTTTTTTTATGTCGTCCAATATTTTGGTCTTGCAAAGAAAACCGACTAACTAACAGTGTATTTCCCTTTTTTGGTAGATTTTGATTTACTTTTATACTCCTTAGTTTGCGTAGCATTTCTTATTTTTAAATTGTATCTTTCATACTTTTGAAATGTCTTGATTTGGTAAATCCTCTATTGACTCTTTTTATTTCTCCGGAGTTTCTTCCCTTCCCTAGACAATTTACTTATAATCGGTAATACCCCTTGAAAACTCTTTTTTAGAACCCCCCTTAACAGTTTGGTATGATACATTTTTTTTGCTTCTTATTTTGTAGTTTAGCTTTGGAGATGTAGATTTTTAAACGCAATTAAAAAAATATTAAAAATGAACATTTTTTATAAAGTTAGATAAATTTGAATATTGTATTTTAAAGTACAGTATATTAAAAAATTACCTTTGTCATTTGACTTTACATTATCGTTATTATGAAACGTATGTTTATTCAAATACCCTGTAGATTTATTAAAAATTGACGTTCTCTTTTTACATAACTTAAATACTGGAGTGCTGTATTTTACATAACTCATCTGAATCAAAATAAAAAAATCAGAATAATGGTAGGTATAAGAAAAATATGTTTGTGTTATTCCACAACTTTTCTGTGTGTGCATTATTTGATTATTTTGTGAAAACTTACCCTACAGAATCATGAGAGGAGGACTGACAAAATTATACAACTGTTACTATTCTAGACGAGCAAGAGTAATCTTTTTATTTGTAACAAATTTCGACAACGTTATTTTTTGAAGTGCCTGTAAAGTTGGTCCCCCAATGTTAAAGTTTTCTTAAAATTCTTAAATTGTTCAAATTGTTAACAAGTAGTTCTACAGTAATTTATAAATTTTAAAAAATAGCTTCTTGAAATATAGCCAGAAATGTCAGTTTGAAAATGCATTGTGTTCGAATAATTTTACTATCTTATACAAACCGCATCGCTCTAGTTGAGGAAAAGTTCAATTTAAATAATTTCTTGGGTTTTTAAATATTTCGAAAAGGGGAGTTCTAGTAAAAATGACAGCGGTTCCGCATTGTGTTTGAATGGTTTTAATATTTCATGCAAACCGCGTCGTCTAGTTGAGTAGACATTAATTGAAGGAGTTTTTAGATATTTCGAAAAATGGAGTACGAAAACTACATAACTGTAACACTCCTCTAATTAGGTAGATGTCGAATTTAATTAACTGAAATAGTTATTAGGAATTACGGAAAAAAGAAGTTCTAGTGAAAAAAGGAGCAGTCCTGCATAATGTTCGAACAGATTTAATATTTCATACAAACCGCACCGCTCTAGTTGAGAAGAGATTCAATTTACTTAATTGAAGGAGCTTTTAGATATTTCAAAAGTGGGAGTTCTAGTGAAAACGACAACAGTTCTGTATTGTGCACGAATAATTCTAATATTTCTTGCAAACCGCATAACCGTAACTCCTCTAATTACATAGATGTCGAATTTAATCAACTTAATAGTTATTAGGAATTTCGAAAAATGAAGTTCTAGTGAAAATAAAATCAGTCCTGCATAATGTTCGAACAGTTTTAATATTTCATGCAAATTGCATCGCTCTAGTTGAGAAGAGATTCAATTAACTTAATTGGAGTTGTTTTAAGATATTTCAAAAACGGGAGTTCTAGTGAAAACGACAACAGTTCTGTATTGTGTTCGAATAGTTCTACTATTTCTTGCAAACCACATAATTGTAGCTCTAATTACGTAGATGTCGAATTGAATGAATAGTTATTAGGAATTTCGAAAAAATAAGTTCTAGTGAAAATAGAAGCAATCCTGCATAATGTTGGAACAGTTTTAATATTTCATGCAAATTGCATCGCTCTAGTTGAGAAGAGATTCAGTTTACTTAATTGGAGGAGTTTTTGAATATTTCAAAAGCGGTAGTTCTAGTGAAAACGACAACAGTTCTGTATTATGCTCGAATAGTTCTACTATTTCTTGCAAACCACATAACTGTAGCTTCTCTAATTACGTAGATGTCGAATTGAATTTAGCAGTTATTACGAATTTCGGAAAAAGAAGTTTTGGTGAAAATAGCTATGCATTGTGCTCGAGTAGTTCTACTATTCCGTACAAACCGCATGGCTCTGGTTGTTCAAATTGTAGACATCGAATTTAATTAATTAAAGAAGTTTTTAGATATTTCGAAAAAGGGAGTTCTGATGGAAATAGCGGCAGTTCCGCATTGTGCACGAATAGTTCCACTGTTCTAATAGAACCACGTCGTTCTAGCTAATATCGAACTTAGTCAATTTAAGTACATGGTTTTAGGAGTTTTAAAAAAAAAGTCTATCTAAGCAGACATTGTTTTTTTTTAATAAAATTATGAATTCTAAACTCGACAACTACTTAATATCTATTTCTGGCTTTTATACGTAAATAGAACATTATTAGTTGCCTTCTTCGTTAAGAAATTATTACTATTTTCACCAAAACTTTATATTTCGAAGTTCCTAACAGCTCCAAACTAATTATTTCGAAATTCGTAAAAACTGGTTAAATTAAATGAGATATCTCTTGAACCAGAGCAACTGGATGGCGTTGTTTACAAGAAATAGCAGAACTGTACAAAAATAATGCAAAACTGGAGCTATGTATTTTCTCCAGAACCTTTCTTCCCAAGTTCCTAAAAACTCCTTAAATTAATTAAATTTACGCGATTTACGTTAATTACATTCAATATCTACCCAACTATAGCTAAAAATTGTGCTGCACTGCAGAATTTGTGAAGTACATGACAGAACAAGAAAAGAACATCATCAAACAACAAATAATATACATGAGGAGTTGCATGAAGTTAGATCGCCATATGTTCAAACTGAAATTTCGCGCTATGCGTTCCGGAACTGTTTCTTAAATTTATAAAGCACTGCCTACTACTAGTTATTAACAAATGAGCTATGTAAGACTTTTTAGAAAATTTTAACATTGGGGTGCCAATTTCGTAGGCACCTCTCCGTCCGCTTTGACTTTGACAGTCGAAATTTTGTCCGTGTTCCGACTACGTGGTAGAATCACCCGCATTACCGATAGTGATAACATGGTTTCCGTGTCAACAGGCGGGGGCGCCACTTGGTCCGGGAATATCTGCCACCAACGCACTCAATCACTGCCCCTCACCGCTCACCCCACCACAAACGCACCCCTCACCGATAACACCCCCCTACACCCGAGCTCGACGCGAGCCCCCACCACTAGTGCCAAGCGCTCCAACCAATCCTCGAAGTGTATGTATCATCTGAGTTCATTTATTTTGTTCTCTTGTTTTCTACCGTCTCTTGCCGCCTATGATATAAGGCCTCACAACTGACGCGCAGTTGCCGTGTGACGTCACTACCAGTGGTCCTGATTTAATCAGTCCTTAATAATAAAACATTAGAATTCGTTGTAATTTTGTAATACTCATTTCAAGTTATAACTAAGTAAAACTCTGTTGTAATACGTCGACAATCGTCAGTAATATATTTTTCACTGTCTCCTTGCACAAAATGCTCGAAAATGAAAAAAATAATCTGTGTTAAATATTTTAATTTGAATAAAATTCACAAGCTGTAAATTAATGTTATGTACCTTGTGCTATGTGTCTTTTAGCGACAATTTCGCACTTCAGACGTTATTCTATAAAATAAAACTGAGATTCATCATATCCATAGGGCAGCCAAAACCACAATATATGCCCAACACAAATTCAAAAGAATTATTAAATATTGTACGGTTTTTGTTTTGTCATAATATAAAGTAACTGATTTTTATCTTCATATTTTATTTCACTATTTTTTTTTTAATACGTAAATACATTTACCCTTTTGTTTTGAGTTTGTCAAGTGACATACATCTATTACCACTGCAGTGACGTCATGTGCGGAGCATTGAGGTTATGTAATCTAGGTAGTAATGGTACCTACCACCTATCAGATTGTTGTTTTTGACCTTGGTTTGGAGTACGTTCATTTCTGCAATTGGGTGTTCACTTTCTCATTTATTTTTGCCAGAAAACAGTGTTGTTGAAGTGCTTAAGAAAAACGTTTCAAACCACTGTAAAATGTCAGTACCATTGTATAGTACAACTATAACGACCAGTATTCAAGCTGTTTAAATTATTAAGGGAGTTATGCTTCTTCAACAGCATTGTCTCGATTTACATTATCATTTCATTTATGTTTGCTATCATTTCATTCTCATTTTTGTGTTTGTCTTTGTACTAATGAAACTAATATGTCCTCCATAAACAAATCTGTAAACATTGAACTGTTCAGACCGATCTGTGTTTGCTTTTTGCTTAATAAACCATTCTGTTAAATACTGGGTGATTTTTTTCACTCGCTATAATAGCAAGCTTTTATCTAACTTGTAAATTGTAAAAATAAAAATGTATGTATGTAATTGAATGTCTAAAGACTTAAAAACTGTTTTACATTGCCAATTTATTGATCAATTAATTCATGAAGTCGCTTCATCAAGAAATTGGACAAGTGTAATGCACCAAATCTGCTGTCATTCATGAAGTTATTCTTCATGAATTTATTCTTCTTGACGAATTAGAGCATGTTCTAATTTTCGTCAATTTTTTCGTGAAGTTCGGAAGTACCAACCCAACAGATTTCCAGCCTCAGATCAGTAATGAGGTTATGTTATTGGAATATGTAAATTTGTAAATAATTGTGTGGCGTCGTACTAGTTTTGCATTGTTTTTACTGATTTGTTACTTACAAAAACTAATATTTATATAATATGTGTCAGGACGGTACCGCTGTTGTATCAGTACAATTATGAGTGGAAAGGTGACATTTTTGAAATTTATTTGCTTCTTTGATTCATTGGTAGAACTGATTCATATGTCAAAAAACTTGACAAAGTCTGTAGCAGTGTGAAACCACACTGTTTACCAATAAATTCGTCAATTAATTTATGAAGAATTTCGTCAATTTATTCATGAATAAAGTGTCAATGTAAAACAGCTATAACAAAACCACTTTAATTACATTTCAATTGCAGTTTGAATTTGGTTAATAAAATATAAGGACTGGATAGGAAACTGATACAATTTTCTGTATTATAAATAGAAACACAACGAACAATTTGTTTTAAATATGTATGTCAAAGATGAAAATTTGTGACGTCACTGTTACATCCTGTATAAGCACTAAAATCATGGGAAGTTAATGTCTGTTGAATTCATTTTTCACCACATGCAAGGGAATGTTGAAGTTCTTTTCTAACTTTTATGTTTTATTTAAAATTATTCATGGATTAAAAAGTAAATAGCTCTAAGCAAGAATACAACTTACAAAAACCTTAAATGGAGAAAAAACAGGAGTAGTTAGAAAAATTTTCTTTGATTTCAAATATTTTTGTGAAAATCAAATAAGACCTAAGCCTTGCAGTAAAGTTGGCTTACCTAAATTTTAAACTAAGTGCAAAAGAGTTAGAAGAGTAAAATCGTTTCACCACCATGCTGCATTTTTACCACTTTTTCTGATAATTCAACAAGTCGATCGACGAAAACCGTAAATTCAACTATTCTTACAGGTATTATGGGTGGTAGGGAGCGTTGCGACAGCATGCCCTCCCGACCAAGGACCACGAGTGAAGGCACCCATCCGATACCCACCTGGAGGCTGATTACATCTCACCATCGTTCCCACGGAAGGGATATTTCTCACAGCCCTCCTTCTGGGAGTCCCGTGAGCCCCCCGAGTGTGGGGTGCTCTACGGACTCCACTGGTTCTTCCTATAGTCTCACCGATGAGGTTGATGTCTGTACTGAGTGTCCAGAACCTATAAGGTACAGCATGCCTTTGACGCCTGATGAAGCCATCGCTGAAGAGGATTGCCCAGAGAGTCCATGTGGTAAGTAACGGTCAAATTGGATGTTATCTTCATCTACAGGGTCGGAAAGTCCCCATGGTTCATCGGCCGTTACGTGAGAACGATAAAGTAAGTCATAGAAATCCGTGCGATAGAGAAGGATGGCTATAGTGAAGGCATCTCATAGTCACCGTCCGTTTCTCACTTCCACAAATAAGATCCACTTCCACTTGTAATTCAGCGACCGGTGGTCATCTTTGTTTTCGTCGTTTGGCTTTTCTTTAATAGATGTCACTACTTATACAAGTTCGACTTCGGTATTCCGATATGTTAATACCATCCGTTAACAGAGGGCAGCACAACACGTAACAAAGAAAACTTTTTAACTAAACTTACAGTAGCTAGTAGATACCTCTGTTTGTAAATCTCTCTGTTAACGGATTGTATTAACATATCGGAATACGAAGTCGGAATTGTATAAGTAGTGACATCTATTACAGAAAAGGCAAACGACGAAAACAGAGATGACCACCGGTCGCTGAATTACAAGTGGAAGTGGAAGTGGAAGTGGAAGTTATTTGTGGAAGGGCGAAACGGGCGGTGACTAGGAGACGTCTTCATTATAGCCATCCTTCTCTATCCCATGGATTTCTATGACTTACTTTATCGCTCTCACGTAACGGCCGATGAACCATGGGGACTTTCCGAACCTGTATATATCTGAAATCAGTATATGTCCCAGTAAAGTCAGTTGCTTTCTTACTGGGTTTTTTTAACTTCAAAATTGACTTGAAGGTATTACAAATTACAACCAGTACAGACTATATTCTGTTCTCTAATGCTAAAATAGTAGGCAGTAGCATAATCTTTACAGCATGCGCGTACGCACACGCAGCTGAGGCATGTCAGTGCTTGTCATAAGCGTACAAGTGAAAGACATGTTATTATTTTCGCATTTTAGTTATACGAAAAAGTATTGTTCAAAATGGAATCTTGTATAGATGTCATCGGCCAATTTGATAATCGGGATAATCGTATACAACCCAATTTAACAGATCAATAATGTTGAGATAAACAATCTATATAAGGGGATTTCAGCACGAAACGCGGATATACCAGTGAGTGATGCCTTGAAAATGTGCCGTTCTTTGACACAAATCTCTGAATCTCTGTCTGAAGTGTGTTTAAAGCTAGTGAAAGTGAAAACATATGGCGGGAAAAAAAATTAAATTATATAGTTAATTTAAATATGTTATCTGGTAGAAATATTCATGGATTTTATCTTAATAAAAGTGAACTTCTAATATTAAAAAAAATTCAAATTTCAATTGCAGAAGATGAGGATTGTTCCAAAAAGGTTTACCGAAAAACGAAAGAGAAAATTAAAAAAAAATAGTGTTCATACGTCGACAGCGAAAATTTATTATCTTGATTAAACATGTAGAAATAAAGGACATATAGTGTCAGACGGTGACGAGATATTAGACATATTTCAGAGACTATTTCGATTTTAATTTTGAAAATTTGGGCAATGGTGTTTTCGGGCATGCTCTTCTCAACTAAAATAATGGCGCCCACTTAACGCTTCCGGTTATACCGGAAGTTGACGTCAGTTTCGTTATTTTAAATGGAACACCCTGTATATTGCAATTTTGTATTCTATGTCAATTTTTAGGTAAACTTTTATAAAGGTTTCCTATTCTTAAAGTTAACCGTTTTTGATATATTTAATTTTTTCATAAAAAATTAAAAAAGCGCGGCTTAATTCAAAAAGATGTGTATTTTACAATAATAAAAATTAATAAATATAGGGGATATAACTAAAACTCTAAGTTTCCTTGCCATAATTTCAAAATGACTTAATTTCATACAGGGTGGTAGAAATTTAATGCCGAATTTAGTCAACCTTAAACCATCTTAACTTATTCTTTTTTAAATGAAACACCCTGTATATTTTTGTGCAAGCTGATGAACAATTTTGTTTTCTTTCGAATGGTATAATGGTTCCCTATATCTATCTTTTCTGATTTTTAATACGGATATCCCATAATTTCTTGCGAAAATGGCTGCGACATTTTTAGTGGAACTTCAAAACAAGCACCTAATCTGTCACCACTTTATTGTTGTTAATTTAGCACATACAGTGAATGTTTACTAGAGAATTATTTATTGTTAAAGAATGGAAAACGTTAACATTTATGCAAATGACGTTCTAAATTTATTATTTATTCACGGAGAGTCATAACGGTCATTTTTAGTGTCTTATAATATGTGGTGCATCACATTTTTCAATGATGTTTATACATTTAATAGTTTTAGCTGTTTTACTGATTTTATGTAACTGTACTGTACTTACCGTAAGAACACTACATACGTAAACGTTTTACCTGTCACAAAGGTCCACATGTTGAAAATGATTCACTGCCTACTATTTCAGTACTTGATGTATAGACCAATTGGTAAGATTTTTTTTTATATCCTCAATAGTTTATCTTCCAGGCATATACGAGAGCTATGTACCGATGGCACCTCCCAGCTCCGACGACGGTTACGTGGACATGTCCCCTCGTTGTCCTCACAACGCCACTTCTCCCACCGTCAGCATGAGCAGTGTCACCTCAGGTACTCCTTCCACCGATATACGATTCTCGGACTATCCCCTGGACAAGGTTTCGTCTTACTTCGCATCGGAAGATGATGACGCCAGACCTGCCAGAGCTTATTCTGTGGGATCTCGTCCGGAGACTTGCCGCAGTAAAAGACACATAGAACTGGCGGGTACCCCAGAAAATGCCAGAGTCAGAGCTTTTAGCGTTGGGTCAAAAACAAAAAAGGGACCCACCAGGGTGTTGCCGCCACATTACCCTCACGCCGGTGCCAAGTCTAGCAGTGCACCTCTTTTGTCGAATTACAGAACCCATAGTTCTCATAGCTCCATCGGTCCTATGGATGACTTAATGGAGATGGACTTCTCCAGGTCAAATACCGGTAGCAGTACCAATTCCGGGTACATGGAAATGAAACCAGGTGTTGCTAAGATCCCCAGTGGTTATGTGGAGATGAAACCTGGCGTTGATCTTAGGAATGCTAAAAGTGATGTTTCTCCCTATGTGGACATGAGTGGTTCATCACCGGCTCGGAATAATATTGCCTCACCCCAAGAAGAATACAATTCTTTTGTTGATATGAGGCAATACCACAGATTGTCATCCCATGAACAAGCTAGAAATAATAATTACATGGATATGGACCAGAGGAAGTATAGAACACACTCGACTTCCTCAAACACGAGAGTGTCGACTTCTCCGAGTTCTTATCACTGGAATGACTACATGGACATGTCTGGGAATCAACCAAAGAGATCCGAAAGGGGTTCCTTCAGTTCTCAGCTCTCCTCATCACCAAATGTACCGTCAGTTTCTCCAAAGAATGGCGATTACTCGCCTTTAAATTTATATTCTCAAGATTCAGCAAAACCTAGTGAGAACCAGACTAAAACTCCTGAAGGATATGTCGAGATGACTCCTGGAAGCGTAAAACATCAGCGCCAATCTAGTCTGGACAGTACGCAGGTCATCAGAGGCAATGAAGATTACACAAACATGTCTCTAGGCTTAGGTGCTGCAAAGAAGAAGATGATTGCTAAAAAGGAAAAGGCCCGATCCCAACCAATTTCAATCAATTCCACCACAGCTGGCTCCCAAGTTACCAAAAACTCATCAAGTCCTATTTCCGTTTCTTCACTGTTGGGAAGGAAGTCCTCGACTGGTACCCCGCCCAGGATGCATTTACCCATTTCCTCATGGAGCACCTCTCCATATTCCAGCCTTCCAAGACAGAAGCCAAGGAAGGACAGCAACAGCAACTCCAAAGACAGCTCCAGCTCTAGCATTACTACTCCTAGCAGTTCTAGCACGATATTCCCCATGAGTTTGAACAGTCCCAGTTCCCCAATGAAACCGCCTAGCAAAACTGAGACCCCTTCCGCCCTGAAACTTCCGGCAGCTCTTTTAAATGCTATTTACAAGACTAACAATAAGTCCGCAGTTGCAAGACCTGCCGCTGAAGACTACACGGTGATGGACTTTGAAACTAACAAAAATAAATCCGTTAAAATGGACGATATTCCTTCGGATTATGTTAATTATTCACCGGCAGCTAAAACACCGATCGTTATTCCTTCCAAGGTGGAACTGATGGACGAAACACCAGGCGATTACGCTGTTATGAAGCCAGGAATGATAGAAGCCAGGACGATGAATCTGCCTCTTCAGAATACGAGTTCTAGTGGCAATACTTCTCCTTTGGTCATTGACTTGTCTTGCATCGGGATCGACGAGACTCAAGCAAAAGTCTTTCGTCCCATAAAGGAGGATGTAAGGCTAGGCAGTTCATCACCAAGACCTGGAGATGTTGTCCCCACCAAATTGAGTGAAGGTACGTTGACTTATTGATATTTTGGTACTTTTTAATTATGGCGGGAAGTTCCAAGGATTCAATAAAATTTTGAATATCGATTTGATTTTTGTGCAGCCAAACCTAGTTTTTGCGAGAAAACAAAAATATACAAAATTCTAATGATTTAATATCTTAATCCACCATCTCATTCATTTATTATACGGGGTGTCCCATTTTAATTGATACACTAATTATCTCGCAAGAGAATCGTACAATGGCCTAAAGTAAAAGTTGTTCAGTTCACTGGGGAAAACCAAATGCTTATCCAGGATTTGACCTTGAACTCACCTTGAAGGTCAATTGAAGGTCAACTTCGGAATTTTAAATGGGATCCCCTATTTTTAACCTTGGAAATGGATTCAGCAGAAAATTTTACATCCGGATGTGATCACAACTTTGACCCTGAGGTCAAGGTCACAACGGGTTTAAATGATTCGTCACCCTTGAAGCAGCCTCGGGATAAAATGTTAACCTCCAGAATCGATGGGTTTTACATCAAGGTACTCAATCACGACCTTTGATTCATTCTCGACCGCCACCTTGTCAAGGTCATTTGAAGGTCGACTATAAAAATCGACCGTCACCCCAACAAATGTTGCGAAAAATGTTCGGGATTGAATTTGAAAGGTTCATTTGAAAATCAGTTGAAGATTTAAATCCAGAATACTAACGTAAAGACGACATAATTCAATGGCTCAGAAATAGTAGTGTGATATTTTTATTTTTTCTCAATTTTTCACCGTCAGTCAGTTTTACTTTGTAACGTACTCAGATATCTCTTTTTTCAATTCTCTAGTGAAGTTATACCTTCGTTGAGTAACAAGATATTTTTATAATTCTCCCCTCACTCGTTCGTAGCATTATTTTTTTCTACAATTGTTATAGACGACCTTCAAATAACCCTGACAAAGTGGAGGTCAAGGACGAATCGAAGGTCGTGATTGAGTACATTGATGTAAATCCCATCAATTCTGGAGGTCAACATCTTATTCCGAGGCTGCTTTAAGGGTGACGAATCATTTAAACTCGTGACCTTGACCTTGACCTCAAGGTCAAAGTTATGATTACATCCAGATGTAAAAAATTTTGCATAGGGGGTCCCATTTAAAATTCCGAAGTTGACCTTCAATTGATCTTAAAAGTGAGGTCAAGGTCAAATCCTAGGTAAGCAGTGAGCTGAACAACTTTTACTTTGGGCCATTTTTCAGTTGGTGGCTTCTCTGACGAGATATTTATGTGTATCAATTAAAATGGGACAACTGGTATAAAAGCCACACTGTTTTTTTATCATGCAACAGTTATCTAACTTCAAATCTTGAAGTTTTTAACTAATGACGTCAGACACAACTACTCTGCGGACTAAAGCTCGTCTGTCACTGAACTACACGCGCATCTAGTAAACACAGCTGAGATCATTCATCGGTAGAATCACCAGACAGAGGCCAGTTTCAACTTGGTTAGTTTTCTTTAATACGCCATAAATGATCTAGCTGTTTGGGTCTATCTATCAAGATGTTTTGAATATGGGTGAGATATAACCTACAAATTATGTTATATTTTAATTATCTCTGTTATTCAGCGCCTACTGCCACAAAGTATTCCTCCGTATCTACAGACAGAGAGCAACCTACTAATCTGTAGGTATTATGAAAGCATGATACGTAGTGTTACACTAGCTGCCATAGTGTTTTAAACTAATGATATTGTGGGAAATTACTACTCTGCAGACTAAAGCTTTGTACAGCATTGAATCCAGTAAACTTAAAATTTTGAATTATTATTTTTTTCTTAAAAAAATAGGTTTGGCCGCAAGATAATTCAGATTTACGTTCAACCCTTTCGAAAACGGGGTAAAATACTTATTGAAAGATTGAAAGTTAGTAAGTATTTAGCAACATTCTACCATCAAAATCTTTTGAATCAGGGTCAAGGAGCTTCATATGTCCAATATATTTTACAGACTCCAGGACAACAGGCACCGCCACCGCCCAAGGTGTCGAGTCCCCATACGAAACGTGGCGTTCGACCGAATGCGTGTCGCCCGCCGCCAAAATATCTCGACCGAATTCCGTAAACAGCGATGCCATCAACAGCACATCGCCGCGCCCTAACCTAGGTTCGAACGAGAAATCTCGTCCTTCCTCGGTTGCGTCCGATACGTCCAAGGGGGCGACGTCACGTCCCAGTTCAACGTCTAGCGAGCTGTGCTCAAGCAGCTCGACTCTCCTCGGTTCTCGTCCCGAATCGGTCAACTCCGACCAAATTCGACCGGATTCGGCTGCCGGTCAGCCGGTCACGGTCAAGACTGACATTCAGCTGCATTACGCCAGGCTGGACCTCGCGCAAGCTGAAGAAGATGGCAGTCGGAGTCCGAGGACGACCAAGAGCAGCCCGGGTGACGCGGCGTCGCAGACACAGTGCGAACCGGCCTTTTTCTACGCCGAAATAGACTTCAAGAAAAGCGAGGGGTTGAAACACTCCAATCAGAGTTTACCGAGCAACGCTAAGGTTCAGCATTAAATTAGTTTAATTACAGATACAGGGTGGTTAGAAAAACAGTGCGTGATCTGTATAAAGTTGTAAGATATTGTACATAGCTTTGAGTTTGGAGGATATCGTGGGTGAGTGTATATATATATGAGTAGGTGTAATTTGTGTAATAGGTAACGTGCGGAGGGGCGGTTTGTATATCTCTTAGTAAAGTATTTAGTGGATGTGTATAAAGTAGGTAGTAAGTTAAAGGAAATATCCGCCTCTGCGCCTGTCACCGCCTTTTTTCCCACCCGCCTTGTATCGTTTTATAGACTGAATCGTTAGGTAAATTTTGTCTTTTCTAACTCAGCCCTAACATTTATGAAATAACGTAGACGTTCACATATCGTGAAGAGTGTTACGTTGAAAATAATTTTTTAAAAAATGGGATTAGTAAAAAAAACTCGATCTAGACTTTTTTTGCAAATTATAGGAGTATTTAGTGGAATGTCCTTGTTGAACATATCATTGCACATATACAGATGTTCTGTCTTCAGGGAGAACACAATGGAGGTTAACGGATGTAGATTTCAGAGGTTGCGTTTCCATTTAGTAAAACATTTAACTGAAATAGATTATTAGACTTGTATTTAACTAGAAAAGCTGAGGTAATACAGTATTTTTAATCTAAAACGAAAAAGCAATGATGTGTATTTTGATGTAGTTCGTTTTGTGTAAAAAAAAATTTAAAAAAAAATGAAAGAAAATCTAGCATAAATATACATAATTAGTGTTATTATATACTATTTTTGTTATTCAATTGAGGCTCAAGAAGTGAATTCCTACTAGAAAATAAAAGTGACATTTTTTTAATTTTTAAGTTACATCGTAAGTTTAATTTATTACATTTTAATGAACTAGTTTTAACGTAGTTGATATTTTATAAAATATACCAAACTTCTTTTTAAACTATATACCGTTGTTCCATAATTTACTGCCGTTCGATTTTACTAAACGTTGTTACAATTTTTATAAACATATAAGACAGGTGCTAATTTTAGAGGGAAGCTTATAAAACACACCGAAACAATACAGATCTTTGATTTTTAAAAAGGAAACTACAGTGCCTTTGTAATAGACATTTTCTAGGTTGTTTGTTAGCATTTTATTTTTTGCCTAGTCTCTAGCGACGGAGCGCCCCTTCGGCTCAGCCGAGATGTTTCGAATCTTACTTTTCCGTATAATTTACCCGGGAACGTCACTATTCTTGGAATAATCGCATGATTCCTTCGCGCTTGGTCCCGTTTTACCTACTTTGACAGCCTTTTTTAAGTCCGGCACTTCCTTCATGAAAACAAAAAAAAAAGTACACCTTCCGCAAACAACGAACAAAAAATTGTGGGGGCAAATCTACTCATAAAGTACTGATACAAACTTTTTCATAAGTAAGTCAATTAGTCGGTTATTTTTTTAATTAATATTTTGCATAACTGTTTTTTAAGTTAAGCAATTTTTTCTAAATTTGCTACGCTTATTATTATACCTACGAAAAAAAATTGTAAGGCTTTAAAGGGCCCTTAATGCCTTAAAACGTTTATCACAATTTTTTTATTTGCGACTTTTCAAAAAATGAAACACGTGTTAAATAACCATATATATTAAAAGCTGTAGGGAAAATGTTATATATTATTTACAAACCCGCAGAGGACGCGACCCGAGAGAAAGGTCAAGTCCGCGTTAGCGGACTTGCCTACCTTTCTACTTTTATTGTTAAATGTCACATTTCTTTAAACTAATCAGTGCAATTTTCATTGTGCAAATATTAATGCTTGCAATTGTGTTGAACATTATTCCCTTTATTGATCTTCAATAAGTTTTTGAAAAATCGCAAATAAAAAGCAGATGACCAGTTTTCTACTCAACCATTTTTTTTTCAATTTTATTGCTAATAACTACAAATTTGAAAAAAAAATCGCTTAATAAAAAATACTTTAGGGTTATGTTTGTTCATACTGAGCTTTTGAAAAGGATCCCAGGAACTTACACCACATTTTTATGAATAAAATCACCCCCTAAGTTTTCGTTCTTAGTTTCTGGACACCCTGTACATAAAAATCGTTTTTGAAAGTGCGCCTTTACCCGAAATTGTGTTTTTGAAATTGGAAATATTATTCCGTCGAAGGGGCGCTCCGTGAACCGGTGGGCCCCCGGGCCACGGGTGCGACCAGAAAGCATGTTCGCGGGCAACTTATTGGCATTTGATGTGTACTTTTTTAATTGAAAACTACATTTCTCAAAGCGCAGGGGACATGCTTCGTAGATGAAATTAATTAGGTAAATTTATTAGAGAATAATGAAATGAGCCTTTACATATATATCATTAATGTAACTTATATAGGAAAATATTTAAATCTAAATGAAATATAAAATGCTAATCATCGTCTACTTGATAGGAAAAGCAAAGTTATAGTTAATATTAATGCATGTGAAAAAATTGTATGTGAAGTAAAAAAGTGTCTAAAATTATTTTGCGCTGGACGAGCAAAGAAAATTCGTGTTATATAAGTGCGCGGTAACTTTAAATAAATTATTTTATACCGCTGATCCTTGAGGTGTCTGAAAAACGGGGAACAAAATTCTCTCATCATCCCTTAATAGAATTGGATGTTGAACAAGTTCTCGCTGTTTTTCGTGGAAATTAAAACTTTATTTGAAAAAAATTGTAAAAAACATGCCCCGAAAATATTATCCATCACTAGCCACTGCTTTTTCCCATTTTTCAACGATCGGCTGAAATGCATCAATTGTAGTCAATAGCGATCTCTCGTGATGATTTCATTCCGTTCGAGCAGCTCATAATAAACCAAATGCAGAGTAGGAGCTTGGAATCGTGAATATTCAGCTTTGCGATGAGGTTGACTCATGGCCGGACTTGCCCCATGATTTTCTACACTTAAAATAATCGTAGCATATCCATTTTTCAACGCGAGTTACGATGCGATCTAAAAAAACAAAAAAACCTTTACATTCTGCCGTTGAAGCAGCTGTTTACACATGCAAAGACGCCGTTCGACATCTCTCCCAATGTTCTTACTTTTGAATTATTCGTAATGCTTTCAAACATTTTGAACCTGTTATATGATCAACTCATGATTTTACAAGTCTAGCGTCTGACGTGAGTCTTCATGAAGTAAAGCCTCCGAATCTTCATCCTCAAACTATTTTGGTGGCCCAGAGCGTTCTTAATCTTCAATATCAAAACCACTATTTTTGAAGCATCTAAACCAATGTCCGCATGTTTGTAACGGATTATGGTCTCTGTAAATCTCGACAATAATTCTGTGTGCTTCATTTGTAAAAAGTTGTTTTTTCGTCACGAAACTCAACATAAGGAAAAAAAAGTAGTTTACATTTCGTCGAATTAACACACTTTAAGTTCTGGTAACGCCATTTGTCGAAAAACAGCGAGAACTTATTCAACATCCGATTACTTGCAGTTTTAAACACTTCTAAATTTGTTTGTTGACATAATTTTGACTAATTTAATTTGTTCCTATTTGTTAGCTACCTTCGCGATCGGCGTTTTTAGGAAAATAGTGGAATGATTAACCATTTTTGCTTATGTCGAAATTTTTTTTGCTATCCAGGTTTTATATAAGAATTTATTAGTTAGTATTTGAATTTGTAAGGAATTGTTTTTTATACATCTAAAATGAAACGCATCGTGAGTTTATACATTATAATAAATACAGTTATTTTAACATTTAACAGCTTGGTTAAAGTGTATTTTAATACCGTTTTCTTTTTGTTTCGTTTTAATCCTGTAATTTGCAAACTCTGTTTTATAAATGAATTCTCGTAAGCACTTACGGTGTTTGTTCATATTAGGAAAATGTGTAAATAACTGCTATAGGTATATTTTTTTTGCAAAATGACAAAATAAAGAATTTGATTTCGGTACGCCTTCTTATTTTCCCCACCCTTTCCTTATTTTCTTAATTCGGAAGTATAGAATGTGACACATTTGAATAAAAGTGTGGTTATGTTTCGATTCACCTATTGATTGTTAGTGCCCTCTTGTGTCCAAGTTTAAAATGTGTACAGTTTCCATTCGTTGAAGATATTGTCATACATATGCTATAAAAATTGTTCAAAGAGAAAGAAATAGAAGAAAATAGAAAAAATAAATACATATTTTGAAAACTACAAAAAGTCTACTGGTACTACAAGGTAAGCCAATTTTCATGTTATTTCTCGAGAACATTAAAAAAAATCGTTAAAATATCAGGTTCAATTTTTTGGAAACTGAACAGTGAAAGTCGCATGGTTTACTTAAAAGGGTTTCCAATTATCAATTTAAAAATATGTAGGTTGTTCCATTAAGTTTGCGTTGTTTATAACTGAAAAACTGGATGTTATTGATATTGCAGATTCTACGTAATAATAATCCATATATAAACCCTGAACCTGAAACCCACTTAATTTTTACTTTTTAAGTTTCTGACGGGATTTTCTAGTAACAATAACGACGTAATAAATAAAATTAATGAATAATGAGATACATAGGTTTGAGTTTGTTTTTTTTTTAAATACGTTTTTAATAGATATCTTTCTCAATGAACAAACGATAAATTTAAAAACCTAATCAGTTCAATATCTAATGGTAATTAAATTATCTTAAGCTGTTATATTCACTTCTATAGAATTTTTTAAATGGCAAATTTCACTGGTAACTTAAATCTGACTTGAAACAACTTCTGTCTTTTCTAAACTTTGCTTTACGGCATATTAAAAAGCTTTTTTAAAAAGTAGTTGAAATTGCTAGGTGAAACAAAACACGCCTACTTGCATAGACGAAGACGCCTACTCTCTTCTATTATCTATGACGCCTACTTGTTTGATTCTCCGTTTGAGGTTATGTACATGTGCGCATTTCAACCACATACTTCTATAGATAGAAGTATGTGATTTCAACAACACAACACAAGTAGTTAATCCTGTTATTTTGATATTTTGTCAATTAAAAGTGGTTTAAAGTGACTATTTAGTTTGTGTATAATACAAAACGAAGCTTTATTTTCATTAGGATAGTTTAAAATTATATTAGCAACAGCCGATAAAAACGAAATTTGAGACATGTAAGTATTCGTAAATATTTCCTAAAAGTAGCGGTTTTTGCAGCTGATGTTTCTATTGTTGGGCCCAAATTCGATAGTTTAACCAAGTCCTCTATTCGTCTTTTCTTAAAAATACTTTATTCTGCCCATCCAAATTAAATCGTGTAGAGGGGTTTGTGAGTTGCTATTAGTAGCTAATATGTTACCTACCCTCTATTTTTGTACACTAGAAAAGCTCTCTGAACTGTTACTGCTTCCGATATAAAGATTTTCTTGTTTTTTGCTACCGAAGTACATTTTTTGTAAATTGGAAAGTAGCTTATATTTAGCTCTGTAATGAAGTAGGCATTGTGAGAAGGTGAGTTAATAATTATGTAGAATTTAGATTAAGATATTAAAAGTTATGTCAATAATTCTGAAAATTATTTTGTCACATGATCTTTACTATTTAAAAATAATGACAACTGATAAATAAGTAATAGATATTAAGTTGTAACTGCAACTAATTTTTTCACTTGGCCCTCAAGATAAAATTTAATTTTTTCAAATCAAATACTATTCTCGAGCCCCTTACATCTTTCTTGATGAAAAATAAAATTTCCGACTCACTGATGAAACATATATTTCTTTAAATCAAAAAGAACATATAACAGGTAAGGAAGAAAACAACACAATAAATTATACAATAAATAGAGGGAAAAAAAGTTATCCCAGTAACGCGGAATCCTCATCAAACCACCTGGCAAACGAAACTCCTTACATTTACCAACCATAAGCTGCACCCAAGCCTTGGAAGGTGACGTGAGCCACTGCTGGGGCGGCCGAATAAGCGACTCCTACAGCGGGGGCGGCCACTGCGGGAGCGGCATATCCATGGGCGGCATATGCAGGGGCGGCGTAAGTCTGGTAAGCTGGAGCAGCAGCAATTTTCAGTCCTGGGTTGGAGATCCTGACATCAGATTTGCTTACGCTGGAGAATGGGGTGTCGATGGTCTTCGAGTAAGTCGACACTTGGCCGAGGTTGCCTAAAAATTACGAAAATACAATAATTGCAATTAATATAATGCAAAGGGCGCGATGACCACTACTCTAGTTTTATTCGCAACATGTATTAGAAATAGCCACTAAATGAATTTAATAATATGTACGTATTAACAAATAATTAATATGTCGGTTGTGGAGTATATACACAAGAGACAAGGAAACATCCATGCCTGTAGAACAAAACTGAACAACTATTGAAATCAGAATAATCAGGATTACACATGGGAAATTTTTTTTTAAGTATTTGTTTATTTTTTAATGAATTCGTTTCTGCACATCACTAATTTCACTTAGAATTATTGTTGCCTGTTTCACTTACACAACGCTTGTTATCAGCGATATTTAAAAAAGATTGGTGAAGAGCAAAATTGTTGAGAAATTGCCGAAGCTGAGAAAAAATTAAATTTCTATTGGCAGCGTAGCATTGCTATTGATTCAAAAAAATCAAGGAGTAATCTAATTAGATGACTGTTAACGAACTTGTCTAGGGACTTATTTATTTACCTTAATTTAGCCAAATATTTAGAATTAATTTGGTAGCTTAACATCTTTAAGAATTGCTTAAAATTAAGCTGTATTAAAATAAAATCGAAAATAAAATAAATGAAATCATATTTACACATAGACCTAGTAAACTAAAACAGGAATACGGCCCAACAGAAAAAAAGGGGTAAGGAATCGAGCTGATTGGTTAAATTAAATGTAGCGCGCTACAGTCGAAGTTCTGTGAACGAAGTATAAGCCCGTACTAGCTCTATCTCTCTCGCACACGTATGTGCGATTGCTGTTTATACACGCAAAATGACAGTTGGGCGAGTCCAGTGGTTTATAAGTATGTCTTTATAAGGTCTATATAGCATAGACCTAGTAAACTATAATGTCTATGATGAGTATATCCAACTTTCAATTGAAGTGTCATTTTTTAAATAGTTTTTGGAATATTTGTTTTGAAATTCGCTGGAGATAATTAGATTTTAAAAATAAATAATTTTCTGTGGCTGATAATCTTAAATATAACAGCTAGTTGTTGATAACTGAAATATTTTTGTGTATATGTGTCAGTTATCAATGTTCGTGTTAGTGTAGGTAGACCATAGATCTAATATAGTATACTAAATCTATGGGTAGACCCCCTTGGTAATATAAACATAGCGGCACGGTTTTTTTCCCGAATTGAAAAGGCCTGAATTCCACATTTATTGGGTGTAGTTTACAAATCAATGCACGAAACTTTGAAAAAGATCTATGCATGTCAGATTAGATTAATTTTATAATTACTTGTAATACCTAATTTCATAAAATTTGCCCCTTTAAATTGGATTTTAAATCGCCAGGTTATGAGAAATTATGTTGCCTGCGTCTAAGGGGGAGAGTTTAGGTCGATTCTATTTGGGAAAAAAACAGGTTTTCTTTGTGGAAACTAAAAACGCCTTTGCTACTGTAATTAAACGTAGGAAACTTACCGAAGCTACGGAGGATATTAGAAGACTGAGAAGTGATGGCTGGTGCTTGAGCTGTCAGAGGCGCTCCATATGACACGACTGGGGAAGAGTAGGAGATGTGAGATACGGCAGGGGCAGCAGAGTAGGACAATGCGGGTCCGGGGGCGTATGCGGCTGGGGCTCCTAGAAAACCTGCGTTGGCGACGGCCAAAACAGCGGCGAGGAAGACGATCTGAAAGAAAGAAAATCGCATAGTAAAAAAGGTAAGTAGGTATAAATTAAGTCGAATTAACTCGTGTCTAAGTGCAACCAGTCGAAATTATTGCCGTCGTATATCGAAATATTTTTAATAAAAGAAACGTTGCGGTTACGCAAAGTGACGTCACACGGACTAATCTCACTGCAGCTACCATTTGCTAGGCGCAGTTATTATTACTTGTTTATTTTCAAAGAAAAAATTGGCATTTTAATCGTTAGTAGGTGTTATTTATGTAGCATTAGGAGTATCATTTTTGATGCCTATTAAAACAAAGTGAACAAAAATAATTATCACTTCATTGGATACAAAGTACGACTGGAAAGTATAACTTTATATGTTTATAACATTTTATTTGCATTTAAAGAAAAACGTGGGAAAATGACAGCAATAAATGTTTCTATTTAAAAAATGCTATTCTGCGGTCTGGCAAAGCAAAAAAACGCACCGTAAAATTTACATTTTTAAACATAAGTTGAATGTTTTATCTGGCGCACGCGCTTTGGGATATGTCAATATGTGAAAATGAGAAAATGTAATGTGTTCTATTAAAAAAAAGTATTTTCAAAGTAACTTTTGACTGTTTTTTTTTATTACAGTTTTGTATATATAGTTGCTTTTAATTCATGTATTTAGTTGCTTACTATTAATCTGTGTTGCGTGATAACTCTGCATTCTACTATTGTGCCTTTAGGTAACTATTTTAAATTGGTTAATTTGATAACGAAAGTGAAATAATAAGAAAAAAAATAATATGCTGACATATCACAATTTGGTATTTAAAAAAATAACTCGTGGTACCAGGGACACACTATATTGAAATCAACTATATGAACGTGTATATTAAGTACTAAAAAATATGAATCACTCTCTGTACTTACTTTGCAAGCCATGGTAGTGTTTTTCTGTGCCTTTGGAACTGATCTGAGGTGTGTGATGTTTTGTTGATTTTTATATGCGGCTCGGGTGGAGCCCCGGGGTACGTTGGTACACTTTCGATTTCGTTGATCGGCCGACGCCCCTTTGTTTTGGACCCTCCGCCATTATCTGCTCCAAATCGAGACCGGTACCGCCGACGCTGGGTGGCAAAAAAATTGGCGTAAATTTGTGATTTATGATGCGGCGTTTGATAAGTGTTAGAAATAATTTGAAAGCCCAGGACGACGTTTTGGTGGGCATACCAGATTTTTCGCAATGGCTGTTACAGGCGTTCCAAATTTTTGTAGCAGATATCTAGTAGTTCATAGGATTAGATAAAAATAATTGCCAGATGAAAAGATTAAGGGATCAAAAAAAAAATTCTAAATTTTCGGCGATTTTTCAAATGGTTGTATCTTTGATAAAAATGGTCGTATTGGAGTAAAAAAAAGCAATTTGAAGCTTGAAGTTTCTAATTTTTGGATCTTGCAAAAAAAAAATTCAAGTAACACGTATCGCGCAATCTTAATGAATATCATGAACAAAAAAATTTTCGAAATTTTTTTCGATCTTATTTTTGGTGTACGGACTTGAAAAACATTTTTCCAACTTAGCCACCCTATGGATTAGATAGGTGTTCATTTAGCTTCAATTTCTTTTTTTTTTGGTCTCGATACGACCATTTCTCGCTGAGCTATCGGACTTTGAATAAAAATGGATCATTTTCTCTTTGTTCATCGATATCTCAGAAACCAATGGTTGCACAGAAAATCGACGGTGGGTTTCAGAAACTTGAATGAATTCTCTACAAGGTCCTGGCACGGTTTTTTAGAAAAAAAAAATTTTTTTTTAATGTAAAAGCTGCTAAAGCTCGATCAGTGCCGTTAATTTATACACAGTCGTCCGTACTCAGTGCAGTGCTTTCAGTGAAAAATCAGCACGATGCCTTCTTTTACTGACTATGAATAGGTAATTATTGCGATAACTCTATATGAGGAAGAAGAAGAAAGCAGTATAAAAAATGTGAAAATAGATCCACAAATTATGGACTAAACGAAAAAGTGAGGGAGAATTTAGAAATTTTTATATAAGGAATTAATAGACGATCATACAATACGAATAAAATTACCGTCTACTTTCAGTTCTTTTCCTATGTCATTCCAAATATCAGTTTTAAAACCGGCGTTCGTATATTTTTTATGCGACAAATCATATACTTCGGGAAAATTCCGTACCAACTCGATATGTTTTTCTCGATACGTGAATTGGCACAGCATTGATGTGTGTAAATACGAGGTCTGTGCAGAAAATAACCGAACTTTTCGAATTACACGCTAATGGGGATATTTAGTGATATGCGGTTGACAGTATTGCGTTACACATAACCTCCGTATCCACATGTTCTTGGATTGTTGATATCATCGATTTGACAGTATACTATGGAGGGAATCTAGAGGGAGAGGATAAGGGGCCAAGGTGTAAACTGAGATGAAACTAGTCTTGCCTGGCATGACTTAGGACTTTGGACTCCAATGTCAAAGCGATGCTCACTGTTTTTTTTTTTCGATTTTAATGGAATTGTGCATTTTGAATTCTTGCCTCAACGTGAAACAGTGAACCATGTGTAAAAAATCAGCAAAAGGAGATCAGAGCTGTGGCCAGACAACTCATGGTTCTTACAACATGGCAATGCGCCCGCACTGTCGTACTCAGCTCTGTCAATTCGTCAGTTTGTTGCCAAATTACTGTTCTCACTCACTCTCCTTACTCCCCAAACGTGGCGCAGTGATGAAAGGACGCTGTTTTCAGACTATTGGCGATTCAGACTTCAAAGGCGATTTAAAATGAAGTTATCCGGGACTTCTTCGCGAAATGGAAACACCGCTGGGAAAAGTGTGTGAATAGGAGAGAGGAGTACTTTGAAGGGGACAAGGACCAATAATGTAGAAAATTAATAATAAAGTTGGGGTATTTTTTGAAGAGACCACTTAGACCTTTAGCTTCTTACCATTATTTAAATAACCTGAACCTTCTACGGGGCTTGTAGAAGAGAACTACTAAATATGACAAGCTTTAAGATATACAGGGTGTCCTAGTAATTGTTAGAAATGAAATAGTGAAATAGTTGTTCAATTTTCGAGAAAGAAATTCCCATGAACTTAAATTTTAATGGGCTTTGTTTTCAACTAAGCGTTAGGCCGCTTGTAAACGACGGTTTTTTAGCCGTTTGTGCATCCATGAATGTAGGTATAACATTTTATTAATTTCTTTGAGAATTTTTGTCATTTTCAACGTTTACAAAAGTTATGTCAGCAAATCTTGTCTGGATATTGATTAGTATAACATCGTTTTTGTAATGAATTTTGTTTCATTTTCGTAAATTTGATCTTTCGAAGTAGTTACTTTTGTTCTATCATCTGAATATTAGTGCTGGCAAAAACCGGAAAAAAGTGAAACCGGTTAACCGGGTTCCGTAAAAACCGATTTCAGATAAAACCGGTTAGTCGAATAGTTGCTAAAATCGGTTATTCGAATAACCCGTTACTTGAATCGTCAAAACCGGATATCTGAAAATCGGTGCTTTACAAAGACAGACCCGGAGAAATCGTCTAAAAAAAAAAGGTCTTTACAAAACTCTGGAAGTCAAATTTGTTTACGAAGTAATCGATCTCCAAAAAAAAAAAGGTCAATTGCAATCGGACAAATCGATGTCTAAAAAAAAAGGAAGTAGATCATCGAATAATCGGATATTTGAAGAATCGAATAACCGAATAACCGGTTTTCGGATTTCATAAAAATCCGAATTATCCGAAACCGGTTAACCGACTATCCAAAAAACCGATTTCAGTTGCCAGCACTACTGAATATTTTACTACAGGTTTCTTTATGTTTTTGTGACCATTTGAATTTAAATACTTGCTTTATATCCGACATTATTCTTTTTAATTAAAAAGTCTTAAGAATGGTAATGTGTTATATATCATATATAATACTTCATATACTAAATACTTCATATTCTAAAGTGAATTTAATCAATAGTTCTTCTATCGTTTAACATAGTCCAAATAATTATTTAAATCATCAAACCAAATTGGGGTAAGGAGTTATTTATTTAAATAAAATATATTATTTGCAGTGCGATGGGAATATCCAATTAAATAAAAACTGCAACAGAAAAATAATTAACACAGGCTCACAAATTTTCTGTTGTCACTTAATTTTCTCAATTTTTGTGTAATAGGTATTACAATTATTTTTTTAAACAATTTCTACTTCTAATGTTCCAAAAACTGTAAAGATACTGAACATTTTGATACGTTTCTGAGAGATTTAACAAATTTTTGTTACATTCTTTACTAGTATCTGGACTAGTATAACCACTGTATAAAATGTACAAAAATTGGAGCGAATAAATTAATACTAATCTGTTTAATATTTTAAAAGAGTATTAAACGCAATTTTTCAATTGATCTAATAATTTATATTAGAGAAAACTGTCAGCAGTTACAGAGATCGATAATGATCGATTACAAAAAAAAATCTGTTTACAATAGCAGACCGACATCAATGTAAGTTTATCTATTTAACCCAAATAATTAAAATAATGGATATAAATCGATATTAAACTAGTAGGTATTGAATGCAAATAGGCTCAAGCCGCGCGTTATTCATAAGCGGATATGCCAGAATTTTTATCGGCCCAAATCGAGCGACAAACAATAAAGCGTAAGGACTGTGTTAAGGCGATGACATTTAAAAACTTGTCAGTCTAAACGCAAAAGCAAAACGAAATCCAGATCAAGGGCTTCGAGGTCTCGAATTTTAGTTTTGGATCGGCCCCGAACTGGAAATTTCTCTTTATCGGTATCTGGCGATTAAGTTCTGGGGCATTTCTTTGCGCAACACTGGGCGTAACTCCGTCCAAATTGAATTAACTATCTTGTAGTCGTTTTTTTTAGAACACTTGTGCAAGCCTGTCGTCGTGTTTTGGCGACGATTATTCATATGTTTGTTAATTTTCGCGTTTGAATCTCGTAGCATTGAAATAAATTAATAGGTGAGAGATATTTTACCAGTCACCATTATACA